CACCTGTTTAAAGGATCCGGTTTAAATTAATTATTCGCAAGCTATATGATCTGGGTGTCAATCGAATGATTGTTAAGAAACTTGTGTTTTGAAAGGGTTTTAAGAGGGTTGCCACCTATTGAAAAATTACATTAAATAATTTAAAAGAATTATTACAATGTTGGTATATATCGAAATGTTTTTGAAAAAGAATTAAGTTCAAAACTAAATAAAGGAGGAGTTTCCAAAATTCTACTTGAATGAAAAGAGAGTTAACGAATAAAAAGAAAGAGGTTTAACGAAATTGTAGTTGGAAAATGTTTTGCAGAGGGTTGCCACCTGTTTTTAAAGTCGGGTTTTATTTTAATTTATACTCAAGTTCAAGTGTCAAACGTAAGAGAGTTTAGGTATTTGAAAAGGGTTGCCACCAGTTTTTACAATAATTTAAAGGAATTATTACAATACTCAAATTTGGCTTGAGTTTTGGGAATAATATAATTTAAAATGTAGCACAAAAGGTTTTAGATTGAAAATATTGTGAAGAGGATTAAACATTTATTTTAAATAGGGTTTTTGTTCTGAATAAACTACACCTAATGTTACTCACATAAATTTCATACACTAAGCGCAGCGGGTGAGGGCAATCTAATTTAATAATAATATTAATATTATTTTGCCGGAAGAGAAGCTCGGCCAAACACTAACATATGTGTTAGCGCCAATCTATTATTATTATTTTGCCGCTTACATTTTTGCTAAGTGTTTGGCCGAGCTTCTCCTCCAATTTGTGGTAAGCGTCCTAATCTTAATTGCAAATGGTTTTATGAGAAGCTTTTTAAAGGCGAAAATACACTCGGAGGCTTGCCATTGCCTGACGGGGGGTGTCCGCTGTTAGTTTTTTTTTTGTTTGTTTGAATTTAGATGTTTGTTAGGGCCAGAGATCGAGTCGAGGTCCATGGAGTTGTGTTACGCACTTCTAACCACTCAGCCACAGCGGCCACTGTTTAGTTCAAATTAGTTATTTTTTTTTTTTACTAAACTCATTGGTCAGCAAATAAATTGAATGTTGGCAAATGAATGAACAACTGTCGTAATAAAGCTTGTTTCGCAGCAGCCACAGTCCGGTGAATGCTTCCAACTTGAACATGAGCTACAAGATTATAGCGCATGTAATGTGCAGCTTGTTACGGCAGCAAAAGTTGATGAACTCCCCAAGCGCCAGATAACTAAATGCAAAAACACACAAACTAACTAACACGAAAACTCTGAACTGTACGTACCTATGTACATATGTATGCCAAAAATACTTCCTCATTGCGCTGACCAGATTTACTTCCTGTTCGATCTAAAATAACTCAGCTTGTATATATAATTTTCATGTTGGTCGCTAAGTTGCCCGACAAGTAAGTACTTACTCCTCATATCGTATATGGTTAACCTTATCCTGTGTTCTTGTGTATGCCCTCGCTGTGGCTTAAAGAAAAACACTTCCACACCCTCAAATAGTATTCACGTAGTCTGCTGAGCTTTAGCTCTCTAACACATATTAGGTTGGTTGCTTTTTGTTTTTGCTACTTCCGTAAACTTTTTCAACTTTTAGCTTATCGCAAAGTTTTGCTTAAGCACTACAAGTTTTATTATTATTGCCGCAACAATGCTTTCCACCAACCCCAAAATGTAAGCTGCCCGCCCTTTAGTTGCACACTTACATACATACATACATACATACATACATGTATGTATATCTAACCTGTAACCGCTGGCACCTCATTTGCCAACAATTTGAAGCTGCTTTGCTGGTTTGGTGGCAGTGGTTAGTGGTTAGTGGTGTGGTCGGTCTGTCCTCTGTCCATCGTGTCAGCTAGTCTGCCACTCATTACACCTGAGCGTTGGTTTTTGCAGGTTTCCCATTTGATTATTATGCTTTATTGTTCACCACTCTCGTTTTTCTTTTTATTCTTCTGTGTTACTGCTCTCATATGCTATGTTTTTAGTTTTTTCTGTTGTGCTTGTGTACGGTGTCCTTCCACGCTGTGCGTCGTACTGCTTATTGGTTGTGGGGGGGCGGTCCTCGGTGGTCTTCGGAAATAGTTCCACCGTCTAATTTTTCTACGCTTTCTATAAATATTTACCACCGCAACCACAATATCTCCATTATGTGTTTGTCATGTTTGCGTTCTGTTGGCTTTTGTTGCTATCGTTGTGGTTGTCTTTGTCATTGACGTTGCCGTTATTGTCTCTTTATTGTTGCTGTTATTATTTCCATTATTATTGTATCTCATCCTAGTTGTCACTTGTGTGCATAGTTTGTTAAACCCATTGTCTTAAGTTGAAGGTTAAATAGGACTTCTTGATTTCAGTTTACTCGGCTAACACCTTTGCATTCACCTTTTCTTTAGCGATACAGTTGGCTTATCAACATCTGAAGGATACACATCCTTGTTGTACTTACTACGAGTATGTATGCACCACGGCTTTGTTAACCTGCTAAACTTTTTGGGATCATTCAAAGTTTTGCTGCCAGCTATTTAAGTTGGTGGCTTTGGCGTTGATAGGCCGCAGACATTAACCGCTCGAGGCCATAAGCCATTTTGTACCCCAGCCAGACAAGCAAGCGCCTTGCTTTCTGTTAACATTTCGTCTGCCTTTACTTGTTATTTTTCTTTGCTGCTTTCTTCGCTTTACGTTTAAGTCAAGTGTGAAAATCTAGTCTAAAGTACAAAAATTTATGTGATTTGGTATCAAAGGTGTTATGTAAGGGCTGTTATGGTTTATCCACAGATTGTGTGTAGCATTGCCTCTTACGTATTGGACGTTATTTCTTGATTTGATCTGCTTTTGTTTGCTTACGAACTTTTATTGTTAAATTAACTAATTAAAAAGTTATGCCGGTGGCGATGAGGGTTATAATAATAAAACGGTGCGTGAGCTTAAAGACAAAAATTATGGGCTGCACCTCAGAGAGGAAGCCAATTCTTTTCATGGCTTTGTGGTTTCGAACTGAAGCAAAGAAGTAGTTAACACTTAGATAAAACAAAAGAGTGCTATATTCAGGACTTGGCCAGCGATGTCGGAAAATCATCGATGCATCGAAACTTTGCCACTCGATGTATTGATGCATCGATGTTTTTTTTTTTTAAATCTGGCAACTCTAGTACGTTGAACCGTTGTCAGTTTTTCAATTGACCTGTTTGAAGCAATTTCCTTGCACTTAATTTTTAAGGCGTTTTTATGATCATCCCCCACATTTTCTCCATATAAAATTAAATTACATTTTAAGTTATTTGTATCGAGAATACATAGTATCGAAGAAAATGAACAACAGACGAAGTGACTCATAACGGCTCTTCTCATAGCTTAGAAGTAAAACCAATTTGTCGCCCTAATGGAGCGCACAAAACAGGAATAGTGGAGAAACGAGCGCCGATGAGCCCTTGCCAATGCAGGGTAATGGCACAGGTAGTATTTACGCTTCCAATTTCCTCCTCATCACGGCAGCTATGACAGTTGCCCGGTATATCTGTATGGCCTGGCACCCATACGACATGGATGACGTATACCCTTGCTGGCTCATTTAGGGTATGGCTACATTCCATGAAAATCATCGACGACAATTTGTCACAATTAAGTGCTTTGATAGCTGCCTGGCTATCAGAAAAGATTAATAGAAGAATCGATCAGCGATCTTGCAGCTTCGTTGATTGCTGTAAGTTCAGCATATAAAATGCTGTAAAGATCTGGTAGACGCAAACTGAGGCTAAGTGAGGTTCATGCGTGTATATTACTCCACTTTCTACCTTCAGATCCAACTTGGAGCCGTCAGTGTAGATCGCTGCTGAGTCAGAATACAAGATCAGGACCGAATTCTCTTCCCTTTCACCATCTGAGGGGATCCTTGTCTGGAAGTTATTCTTTAGTCCAGTGGGTTGCATACATATGTATATTTCATAATACCAATAAATCACGTTCGGTCAGTAGGTAGCTAGTGGACAATACGCGTTCTTGGGGGTGGCCTGTCGGGTAGTTAGTATAATTATCTTACGACACTAGGATTTGAAATTGTTTAATTGCTCTATAAATAAAATGAATTAGAGATTTAAAAAATAAAGAAAAAAACGCTCCCCTTGTTTACGGCCAATAACTCGCTCACCTTGCAGAATTTAATTAAATAATTTTCCATTTCGTAAAATAAATTGAAATAACTAATTGAAACAACATGACTAATCACACAACAAAATGTCAACTTAGTATTTAACACACCTGCTAACAGCTGCGCTCGACTGCCGATGCTCTGACTGGCGGCTACTTAAATACGGGTATGTATGTATGTAGCAACCTGGCTGGCGTCGTCTCCTTGTGTGCTATTAAAGTTGACGTCACTCAAATAAATGTATGACATTGTGTGCTAATTGTTGTCGTTGTTGTGTTGTGTTGTGACTTAATTAACCGCCACGCAAGTAATTAGTTTAAATTGTGCAAAGCCAAGGAGTTGTAGTGGCTAACGGCCTAGTCGCCAAACTGGCAACAGACACGGCGAGCGTACAGGTTACTGGGCCGGCAGCTATTTAAATAAGAATCTGTTTAACAAATGTGAAATGTTAAGAATAAAAATTGCGTTTACATGATGAGCAAGTTTTGCAGAAGACGCAACTGCAAATGGCGCGTGCTCTGGCAGTTTGTCAGAATAAATAAATAAAATGCGGTAGACGGACGGCGTATATTTAGTCGGTTCGGTATGTGCGCACACCTTGCTAAACACCCCTTTCCTATTTGTGTGTTGTAAACTCTAAAGAACATGTCGCAAAATAACGAAAGAATTAATTAATTTAGTTCTTACATTTGCTGACTGTCTGTCCTTCATCATGTCCGACAAATATGCGACAGACTACCCGATATCTTTACGCTGCACTTGTAGGCATGTCCTTAACAGCTTTTACACGTTTTTTTTTTTAATTTGTTCGTTGTTTTCAATAATCTTCTCTAACTAACTTTTTTTCTCTTCTTTTTCTACATCCTTTCAGTCCAACCGGTGCAACGCTGCGTACACAATACGAAATAAAGGATTATTTATTGTCACCGGGTACCTGTAAGTGTGGTCTACCATGCCCATTGCGACCGGAGTATTTCTTCGATTTCAATGCTCAGGTGAGTACGTAGGACTAGAGCGTTACGCGTTACTACAAAAAATACATACATATGCATATGTGCATATAGTCGTGACCACGTCACTGTCAATCTACGGCCGTACAACAGTGAGCGTTTCAATTGGCGCTGTTGGTTTTATTTGGTGCCATGACAGGGAGGGATTGTGTTTTAATTGAATATTGAAAATCTCTTAAGTGCTGGGGTTGTTCACTCAAACCACTTTATTTCAGTTTGTCAACTCGGCTGCGGAAAGGAATTGGGTTAAGTGGTCGTAGAAGAAATTTGGTAAGCGGGCTTAAGGTAAAAAAATAGTGAGTTTGACGAGCTGATCTCTTTAAAAATTTGAAAAAATGTTAAAGGCTTAGTTTTAAAAGTCATTTCGATATTTAAGAGATGGTACTTTGTGATACCACTTATCGGTGAATCACTGCGTGCCAATAATAAGGTAGGGCAGGATAATGACAGTAGTTGCGACCTTGTGTGCCAAAATCCGTGCCCTCCGTTGAACTTACAAGAGCCCTATAGTTCACAGGTTTCTTTTTTTGTACCTACCTTCGGTTGGATACATCCTCTGATGGAATTCGTTAAGTTCTTTTTTAAGAAAAGAACTATCTTCGCAGAACTGACGGGCGTGTCCATAACTGCATATGCAACGAGCAGGGTTAGAGCTACGGCAAGCCTAAAAGCTCAGTTAGTCTAGACTTAACTTAATTTAACTTACCGTAAGAAATCATCGATCATTACTCAACACGTCAACTTAAGCCAAGAGCGGAAATATTTTGTTTTTGTATTTTCTTCTTTAGCTGTTTAACTATTCGCCGCCTAGAATGCCACATCAAAAAATTGCATGCAAACAAAAATGTTTGCTTTCATTTATTTTTAAGAAATACAAAAACGACTGTCTGGCAAGCCTGATTCTCTCACCGCTCTCAATTTCCGCAAGGCCGTAACTTAAGAACCTAAAATTTACAGGTTCTTAAGTTTCTTACGGTAAGTTAAGTTTTAACTAACCGCCAACACAGTTTCTCATATAACAGGTTAGCCATAATATTAAGTTAAGTTAAGTTACGGAAATTAAGTCTAGACTAACTGAGCTTTAAATCGGAGCAAATTACGTGAAAAGTTGAAAGAAAGATTAATTATTGAGAAAAGGATATAGATGGAGACCCATAGACTCAATCTCTGAACTATTTTGGGATGTTAGAGATTCTCGGTTTTTCTATCGATATCTTCGGAACTTGTCGATATAATAATCGATATTTTTATGGATTTCGATATTTTTAACGATTTTGTTATCGATATTGCTATTGGTTTTGTTATTGATATTGGTATAGATTTTGTTATCCATATTTATATCGAATTTGTTATTGATATTTTTATCGATTTTTTATCGATTATTCATCGATTTTGTTATTCGATTATGTATCGACTATTTATCGATTTTGTTATCGATTTTCTAAGCTATTTTTATGATCGATTTTGTTGTCGATTATTTACCGATTTTGTTATCGATATTTTTATCGATTTTCTAATCGATTTTGCTACCAATATTATCGAAATTTTTATCGAATTTTTCGTCAGTTTTGTTAACGATATTTTTATCAGTTTTTTTCAACGATATTTTGTTGGATGTTACTATCGATTTTGTTACCGATACGAACAGACAGAAGATAGAGGAAAAGAGAATAAAATAAATGTAATTGGAAGGAACAGGGTTAGAGGTAGGGATCTAGATAGAAAAAAGACAAAAAATATAACCGTAAGCAAAAGCAGATGCACATACATGTGTGTGGTTTTGGCTCAATATCTAACAACAGCCATGTATGTATATATGTATAAGTCCTAATTTCAAACTTTGTTTTTTTTTTGCAAAAATTAGGTAAATTCCACAAACTTACATCGTAGTTTCAAACTTTTTAGCAAGAATTTTTAGGTAAAATTCTAGTATGCAGTTTTATAGCCCATTCAATTTTATTAGATATAATAAAGTGCAAGCTTGAAGCTGCTAAAAATTCGTGTTGATAAAAAGTATGTATATTAAATTTTTTTATATGTGAAAAAATGCGTAAAACCGTCACCAATGATCAAAAAACCAATACAATGTTTTAAAAAATTTAATTGCCTATAAAACTGCTTACCAAAATTGTTTCTAAAAATTCTGATCAAAAGTGTGCAGTTTTGATGAAACTGTTGACTTTATAATTTTTACACAAAGCTTAAAATTCGGACTTACATGGTTTTTGATTGATGTTGGTTTGTACTTTTATAAAAAAAAAAAACTAAAATAATAAGCTTTAAATATAGAAAAGAAAAAAGTCAAAACTGGTTAAATTGTCGCGTTTCTTTTATTTTAGCCATATGTAGGTGTGCATATCTATGTATGTGCGGACAACGCTCTAAATATATTGCATGGGCGAAAAGATTGAAATTTTTTTTAAACTGAAAATATCTGCTAACGATTACTGTAGACGGTGCCGAAAAAAACTAAACGACATATATAAAAACATGAAATACGAGATTAAATTTAAGGAACAAATCAAGTGAAAAAATTCTTTTAAATGCAAATGCATTCCTAATTAAATAAAACTTTGCTCCGCTTCAGCAATTAATTACGTATTAAATTAATAACTATTTACTTTTCCCTTTGTTGTTTGTTCGTGACTGTCGCAACACAAAAGTGATTAAAACGATTAATAATTACAGACTGTAATACAAGTTAACGTACATACGAACAAGCCAATCACAATTATACGTGATTTTTCCCCCCCTCCCCTCCCAGCTAGCATTCAGCCGCAAAAATATATTTTAGACTCATCCCTTAATTTTTTTATTACCTTTTTTTAAAGGTTGGCCTTCAGCAAAATTTAATTATAAATAATTGCACGATATAAATCAACACAATTGACGAGACAAGTTCCCGTCCTTGCTGCTGATAGTTACATGCGAATATACGTATGTATGTATGTATTCATGTACATTTGTACATAGGAAAGTTTATGTGAGCCTGCAATGTCAAGTGATACTCGCATGACAGGCGAACAAAATGATCGTGCGACAAGCAGACAGACAAAAAGGGAGGGACAGCGAGACAAAAAATCGAAAAGCCGCTCATCATCGTTCATTGCCATATTTTGTTGGCCGCTTGGTAGTTTTTTTTTAATACATCATCGTCATAAATTCTGCCAGGCTACGAGTACATCCTCTTTACTACTACTACATACATGACCGCGCTGCTACTTTGACCAAAAACAACTCGCCAACAAAATAATTGGCTTTACGCTAGGATGTCAATTATAATTATAAAACTTAATTATAGCAACAGCAAAAAAGATTTCATTTGTTTTTTTTTTTCAAAATCAGCGAAAAAAATCAATGCGAAACCTTGTGGTATGCAGGGAAACCGGTGGCTGAAGTACAGAAAAATGGCCGGAAAGTTGAGTTGAACTTGGCTGTTGAGTTGCTATGCTAGCTAGTCACTGGCATAGCTGACATATCAAAGGGCAATAAAGATGCTTTACGAAAACGCACGCACAGACGCATGAAATAAATACCGAATGAAAAGCGGCACAAAAAATTAATCGAAGGGAGAGCCTGATGCGCCAACCAGCAAATCAGTCGTCAAATCAAAACCTGTCCAACAGGCTGGCTGGTTGGCTGGCCGCAACTTGCTTGGCGTGTCTCATCCTTTTGCTGTCGCATTGAGTTGCCGCAACATGTTTACGCTGCAGTACAGGGGCACATATAATCATCTACATACAATTATACATATGCATGTATGTATGTGCTTACAAAGTCGCCAACTCGTGTGATTTGAAATTTCCACGCTCTGTACGCCAATTGGTTTCAGTGAGCCTTCAGTGGTAGTGGCATAGCAGCTAGCCGTCCGGAGTATGCAGCAGCAAAAACAATGTTCAACCATATATCATTTCATTTTGATCCATTGACAATTTGTTGGCGTCCATCTCTATCACTTTATGGCAATATACAACAACAACAAAAAGCAATAACAACATTCGTATGTAGGCACGTATGTACAGTGGCGGAAAAATAGATAGCGACGCGACATTTTGACAAGTTCTACATATTTTTTTTTTGTTATTTAATGTTTATTATTTTTTTGTGACAGTATAGCTCACTACTATTTAACAAAAACTATGTAAATCCGAATTTCAAACCTTTGGAAATTTTTGGGAAAATTCGACGAAATTTCATCAAAATTTCAAATTTTTTAATCAAAGTAGGCTTACATTTTTTTTACGGTGGAAAATGCGCAACACGAGTTTCAAACTTTGTAAAAAATTAGGAATGCTTGACAAAGTTTCATAAAAATTTCATACTTTTTATTCAAATGGACAAAATCAAATATCTCGTGAAGAAAAAGGTAACGGTATTTTAAAGATTTTGAGATCGATAATTCAGGAAAAATGGTCTCATGAATGAAAAAATTACCTTGAATTTTAAAATGACCTTAAAAATTAGAAGGATTTAAAATTAGTTGGTGTTTTTTGACCTTAAACCAGTGTGCAGTGAGCTTTTTAAATATGTATGCATACATTTTTACTGTTCTCGCATCAAGAAATCCACTACCATGGTCGCAAAAAAACAACTTAAATTTTTTTCTAAAATTTCACTGCATGCTGTTTTTAGGACGAAAACAGAAAATATAAAAAAATTTTACTTTTGAAGGTTGGTTCTGAGGTAAAAATAATTTGTCATTCAATTATACCTTTAAAATGTCCATCAAAGGTAAAATTTTAAATTGTTTGCATTTTTTACCTAAAAACCAGCCTAAAATTAACTTTTTAACAATTTAAATTGCAGTTGTTAGTTATTCCGGCCATAGAAAGGCAATAACAGCAAAAATATAAAAATTTTAAAAAGTGCATTGCCTACCGGTTTCAGATAAAAAAACAAGTAAGAAAGTCTAAGTTCGGGCGGAGCCGAACATTAAATACCCGGCGCAAGTATTAAATATATGTTTTCCACCTTTCGGAAAGCTA